ATAGTAAAAAAACGGTACTGTGAAAACATCAACACCATGCCTCCCTCCTTCCTCATCTAAAAGATCAAAGCACATCGTAGTTGAGAAAAGTAGTTCCGGGCCAAATGGTAAACAAAAACATGTAAAAGTACAGAAGCGGAATGACGCAATGTTAGACAATAGGTCAAAATTCTAGCAGACAAGTTATAATAGTCAGCAGATGTAAACCAATGAGAAATGAGATGAGAGATGACTGGTCACGTGTGACGGTCAGCTGATCAACCAAGCGTCAGGAGAACGAATAATAATCATTAAAAAAGTTTAAAAAAACCCACGTTTTCTGATTGAACTAAAAAGTAGAAAATAAATGCTATAGGCCCTACATCACAATAATGCAAGCGATCACTCTACTATAAGCGATGAAAAACGTGGGGCGCCGAAGTAAAAGTTATATTACTATTGATTAGATAATACTATAGACTTTTATTAGGGAGCTTGTAGAGAGTCAACAGTATTAGAAACTGTAAGAAAATCACGGCGCCCCACGTTTTTGCTCGCTTATAGTAGAGTGATCGCTTGCATTATTGTGATGTAGGGCCTATAGCATTTATTTTCTACTTTTTAGTTCAATCAGAAAACGTGGGTTTTTTTAAACTTTTTTAATGATTATTATTTTCTACTTTTTAGTCTTTGTCTGTTTGTTTGCATTAAAATCTTGCTATCGATTTTATCTTTTCACTTTTTTTGGGTAAACGAAGACAACTCGTAAAAAGACAACTCGTAAAAAGACAACTCGTAAAAAGACAACTCGTAAAAAACACGTTGTTTGAATACGTTACTGACTAGAACACATAGATTTGAACCCGTGTCGAGTGGGGTAGCAATCGTGTGCCCAACCACTCGACCATATCGTCTCCCCCAAACTGGCCTACCTCCTGTAAGTTTAAACTCGGTTCAAGCTAAATTCTCTGCCCCTAAGCCTGTGGCGACATGTGATCGTTCGCTTCACTGCGCGCGAGGTACGCGTCGCTGGTTTTTTTTCTAATGGCTAGCAGAGGAGAATTATATATATAGATTATATAGCGGTCTAAAATGCTCAATAAAATGTTTCCATTGATCAATTTAGTAATAATAACAATTGAATATTCAATGGTCATCCAAAAGAAAGCTTCCCTGAAAATTTCAGCGCGCTAGCTAACTGGGAAGTGCCAGAAATTTCGATCGCAAGATTGGATTGGAAAGACAAACAAATAAATAAACACACAGAGAAAGCAAGTTAAAGAAAACGTGGGAAAAAAACAACGCGATATTGTTCAATCTACCGTGTAGTGCAAAGTCGAGTGTTGGAAGTCAGTAGAGCAGAGATTTTGTATTAGGAGGTTACAGTTGAGTAGATCGTTAGGTAGTAGAAAGTTATAGCGGATTGTTGAATAGCAGAAGTGTACAGTAGATATCAGTAGAGTTAGGAGTAGGATATTGCAATGTGTATACATTAAGTAGAAAATAAACTTGAATATTATTAAATTTGACTTGCGTTGATTTTCCCATTCTATACGGCGTCAGCAGAGTCGAACCCCTAAACTACATATATACACATTACGGTTCTATATGCCATATATTTTCTCTCCCAAATTTTTGTATTGCCCTTCTTCTTGTCTGATAATTTAAGAAATGAGTTTACCATTGTCTAAGTGACCAAATCAAGATCTTTTTTTTTCTTCTAAGCCACTGAATCAAGATGATGTGCTGAATATGTCTACGCGACCCCATTAAGATCAACTCTCTGTGTAGTCATTAGTCCAAATTTTAGACCCCATTAAGATCAGCTCTCTGTGTAGTCATTAGCCCAAGGTTTTAGACCCCATTAAAATCAACTCTCTGTGTAGTCATTAGTCCAAATTTTAGACCCCATTAAGATCAGCTCTCTGTGTAGTCATTAGTCCAAATTTTAGACCCCATTAAAATCAACTCTCTGTGTAGTCATTAGTCCAAATTTTAGACCCCATTAAGATCAACTCTCTGTGTAGTCATTAGTCCAAGTTTTAGACCCAGTTAAGATCAACTCTCTGTGTAGTCATTAGTCCAAATTTTAGACCCCATTAAGATAAACTCTCTGTGTAGTCATTAGCCCAAGGTTTTAGAGTCCATTAAGATCTACTCTCTGTGTAGTCATTAGTCCAAATTTTAGACCCCATTAAGATCAACTCTCTGTGTAGTCATTAGTCCAAATTTTAGACCCCATTAAGATCAGCTCTCTGTGTAGTCATTAGTCCAAGTTTTAGACCCAGTTAAGATCAACTCTCTGTGTAGTCATTAGTCCAAATTTTAGACCCCATTAAGATAAACTCTCTGTGTAGTCATTAGCCCAAGGTTTTAGAGTCCATTAAGATCAACTCTCTGTGTAGTCATTAGTCCAAGTTTTAGACCCAATTAAGATCTACTCTCTGTGTAGTCATTAGTCCAAGTTTTAGACCCAATTAAGATCAACTCTCTGTGTAGTCATTAGCCCAAGTTTTAGACTCCATTAAGATCAACTCTCTGTGTAGTCATTAGCCCAAGGTTTTAGACCCCATTAAGATCAACTCTCTGTGTAGTCATTAGCCCAAGGTTTTAGAGTCCATTAAGATCAACTCTCTGTGTAGTCATTAGCCCAAGGTTTTAGACCCCATTAAGATCAACTCTCTGTGTAGTCATTAGTCCAAGGTTTTAGACTCCATTAAGATCAACTCTCTGTGTAGTCATTAGCCCAAGGTTTTAGACCCCATTAAGATAAACTCTCTGTGTAGTCATTAGCCCAAGGTTTTAGACTCCATTAAGATCAACTCTCTGTGTAGTCATTAGTCCAAGGTTTTAGACCCCATTAAAATCAACTCTCTGTGTAGTCATTAGTCCAAGTTTTAGACTCCATTAAGATAAACTCTCTGTGTAGTCATTAGTCCAAGTTTTAGACTCCATTAAGATCAACTCTCTGTGTAGTCATTAGTCCAAGTTTTAGACTCCATTAAGATAAACTCTCTGTGTAGTCATTAGTCCAAGTTTTAGACTCCATTAAGATCAACTCTCTGTGTAGTCATTAGTCCAAGTTTTTAGACTCCATTAAGATAAACTCTCTGTGTAGTCATTAGTCCAAGTTTTTAGACTCCATTAAGATCTACTCTCTGTGTAGTCATTAGTCCAAGTTTTAGACTCCATTAAGATCAACTCTCTGTGTAGTCATTAGTCCAAGGTTTTAGACCTCATTAAGATCAACTCTCTGTGTAGTCATTAGCCCAAGGTTTTAGACCACATTAAGATCAACTCTCTGTGTAGTCATTAGCCTAAGGTTTTAGACCTCATTAAGATCAACTCTCTGTGTAGTCATTAGTCCAAGTTTTAGACCTCATTAAGATCAACTCTCTTTGTAGTCATTAGTCCAAGTTTTTAGACCTCATTAAGATCAACTCTCTGTGTAGTCATTAGTCCAAGTTTTTAGACTCCATTAAGATCTACTCTCTGTGTAGTCATTAGTCCAAGTTTTTAGACTCCATTAAGATCTACTCTCTGTGTAGTCATTAGTCCAAGTTTTTAGACTCCATTAAGATCTACTCTCTGTGTAGTCATTAGTCCAAGTTTTTAGACTCCATTAAGATCTACTCTCTGTGTAGTCATTAGTCCAAGTTTTTAGACTCCATTAAGATCAACTCTCTGTGTAGTCATTAGCCCAAGTTTTAGACTCCATTAAGATCAACTCTCTGTGTAGTCATTAGCCCAAGGTTTTAGAGTCCGCGTCAAATCCCTGCTGGTCAATGATCAATATATACATGTCGCCCCCTTCCCTTCACCCACCCCCTCCCCCCCCCCCCAGGGTATGACAAGTTATGAGACATGATGGAGATTCTTTGTCTAGACGCTAGGAAACGTAAACATCTAGAGTACGGTGATGCTGGTATTCTCACAACAGTACAGGGTGACTTACATACTGATAGACGGGTTTACAGCTGTTTGCTGTCTGGAGTGGAGACTGTCTACGGAAGATGGGAAGCGCCTAACGCTAACCCTAATCCTAAAGCTTAACCTAACCCTAGCGCTAAACCTAACCCTAACCTTAACCCTGGCACTAACCTTAACTCTAACCCTTACCCTAACCTTAACCCTCACCATCACACTAATGCTAAATCTAACCCTAACGCTAACCATAATGCTAAACCTAACCATAACCCAAATCCTTACCATAGCCTTAACCCTCACCTTCACCCTAACGCTATTTGTAGTCTGTAACGGAGACTGTTCCCGAACGATTAGAGGTAGTAAGTAGACAGATATATCACAATTAAACACGACGGCGATCTTTGCAGTTAATTTGGGAGGACACGATGACATAGCAGGCCGTGCTATTGATAGTCTGAATACAGCACATAGACCAAGTGGCCGTGGACAGCTTTCATTTTTCATCTTGACAGAAGAATATTGTACTGTTACTGAGGTCCTGAGGAAATAGATCTCTAGGAAATGTTGGAATGGGTGGGGGGGATGAGGTTGAATTATGCACTAAACTATTAAATGTCTAACTGTGTGAGAGTGGTGGGGAAACTATAAAGATAATGGATGAAGGTGTGGAGTACCGTTTTTTATGGTCTAAAAATAAAGACAACGGTTTTCGGAAGTGGTTGCGGGTGTACATTTTTATTTTCGCCATCTATCAATTGTTCAATCTGCATGTGATTACACTGCGTGGTCAAGGGGGTAAAGCGCAAGAATACAGACCCGGAAGGTTTGTGTTCAAATTCTTGTGATAACCCTATCTACAACATGCTGTGAGCCTAGAGGTAAATATCGGTGACACAAAAGTCACGCAGTCACACACACACGGGAAAACGAAACTAGTGTACTCTACTTCACCTGCCATACACACGTCCAGGTTCCACATGTATATTCCCGGCATGTTGTTGATATTATCGACACGGAGATGGACAGGGTAAACAGATTAGCATCACCCCAGGTAACGTGTCGTGATTTATGACAGTTGATTTTAATGTGAAAATATGACGGTAAATATAATTAGCGATAAACCTGACAGTTTGGAGAGCTGGAGATCAACTTAAATAGACGATGTTTGTACACTAGGGAAGGTTTGGGGAGGTGGAGATCAACTTAAATAGACGATGTTTGTACACTAGGGAAGGGTTGGGGAGGTGGAGACTCATCCGTGTGGGATAAAAGATGCGAACATCCCAGCTCCCAATCCAAGGTACAGCATCTCTAGACCCCCAGTTCTCGCCCAAAAGACCCCCAGATCCCAACAACAAGACCCCAGATCCCAACAACAAGACCCCCCTGATCCCAACCGCAAGACCCCCAGATCCCAACCACAAGACCCCCAGATCCCAACCACAAGACCCCCAGATCCCAACAACAAGACCCCCCAGATCCCATCAATAAGACCCCCCCCCCAGATCCCAACAAGAAGACCCCCAGATCCCAACCACAAGACCCCCAGATCCCAACCACAAGACCCCCAGATCCTAACAACAAGACCCCCAGATCCCAGCAACAAGACACCCAGATCCCAATCACAAGACCCCCAGATCCCAACCACAGGACCCCCACCTCCCAATATCAAGACTACCACCTTCCGACATCAAGACCCCTCCCTATTTAAGGATGCCTTAGCTAACAACGCATACATCTGCATAACAAATAAAAAAAAACAGCAACATATGCTCGACTATTCTTCTTATCTTTTCAGCAACAACACAATCAAATAACCTCATTCAACTTGACGCACAACTCTGACTAAAACCACCACAACGCTTTATGAATAAATCCACCACAACCTTGTATGGCTATAAACCACACCAACGCTTTATGGCTAAAAACCACCTTAACCTCTATATGGCTAAAACCACCCCAGTGTCTAAAAGTCTAAAAAAAAACCAACTCATATCACAGGGTCTAAAAACCGCGAGGAAAAAGACAATGCAAGAATATGGGGTTACGTGTTTCACACGGTACAAACCACTTCCGGTTATCATCAGTAATCTCCCCTTGCTTTCACACGGGCCCAAGTGGTCAGCTATTGATTGGGTCAACGGCTGAAGTGGTCTTCAACGGCGATTACGTCACGAGCTGACCAATAATCCCAGCTGGACCACAAAACGTCGGGAGGTCGATCTCTGGAGTTCACTTAGTCGGGCAGTGCACGTGCGAGGTGTGGACATTTGTAGACTGGACATTCATAGACTGGACGTTCATAGACTAGACGTTTGTAGACTGGACTTTAGCGTGGACGTTAGCAGACTGGACTTTCATAGACTGGACTTTCATAGACTGGACATTTGTAGACTGGACATTTGTAGACTGGACATTTGTAGACTGGACTTTCATAGACTGGACATTCATAGTGTTGACGTTCATAGACTGGACGTTTTTAGCGTGGACGTTAGCAGACTGGACGTTCATAGACTGGACTGTCATAGACTGGACTGTCATAGACTGGACGTTGTAGCGTGGACGTTTACACATTGGACTTTCATAGACTGTACATTTATAGACTGAACTATAGACTGGACGTTTATAGACTGGACGTTTATAGACTGGACGTTTACAGTGTCGGCGTTCATAGACTGGACGTTCATAGTTTAGACGTTTATAGTTTGGACGTTCATAGACTGGACGTTCATAGTTTAGACGTTTATAGTTTGGACGTTCATAGACTGGACGTTCATAGTTTAGACGTTTATAGTTGGACGTTCATAGACTGGACGTTTTTAGTGGGGACGTTTATAGTTAGAATGAACTTTTATAGAACAGAAGTTCATAGACTAGACGTTCACAGTTGCAATTGGACGTTTATAGACTGTACGATCACAGCCAAATACACCTGTCACAGTCTGACTGGACTTAATAGCCACAGTGAACGCTCACCAGCTGAACATTTTTAATCAGACAAGACGTTCGGGGTGGTCGGGTCGGTTAAGCTCATGGCTGATAAACAGAAAAGTCCCGAGTTTGAACCCCCGCATAGCAACCCATCTAAGTGAGAAAACTCAAAATGGTATGGAAACAAATCCAAAAAGCAAATCAGGCTGAAATCGGAGTCAACAGCATATATGGCGCATAACAAGTTGACACGTAATACGTAATTGTGTTGGAGGAAATCCCGTCCAACGATACAATTAACAACGAAGAAAATGACTGGAATGTTATAATTTATGAAGTTAAACTGGACTCTTATACACACATCGCATCCTAAAAATATCCATACTTATTGATAAGTAGCCCACGGTTTCTCGACTAATATAATACACATTTTAAAATGTAATTCCTCTAGTGATGATGGTATAGGAAACGGTTAACTTAAAAGTAAAGCATTTTTCTTTTGAATACATTTTAAAATCGTCTTTATCCTTGTAAAAAAAAATTGAAAAGCTAAAAAACTAAAATATATTATTATTTTTTTTGGGGGTGTAAAAAATTGCAGACTGTATAAAAATATAAATTTTACGGAACATTTTAAAATCTAATTTTAAAATGATCCCCATAATACATGATCTCATGTGCATTCTGTCTGATGTTCTTTGAGTCATTTTTTTCTCTCTCTCTCATTGAATCTCAAGAGGCAATTTTGAAGCACATTTCTCCTGAGATACTTTTTCATCTATTGCTTTTCGGCAAGTCATTTCGGTCCGTTTTGGGAAAACCCGATTTTACGCATTTAAACGGTGCGATACCCATGTACGCTTGCAAAATAAGGGGGAACGACTCTGAGAAGAGTTCGATTTTTAAACGGGTTTCTCGGTCAAAGTGTCGAGTTTAGAAATGTAGGTGGTGTGAGTTTAGAGGTACGATGACCTTCGTTGGGTAGTGGGCGTACAATACCGTATACTGTAGAGTAACGCAACATCAAAACTCTAAATGCTTATTCAAAGAAAGAGAAAAATGATATTTGAAAATATTTATTCTTAAACCATTGCCCCCCCCCCCCCTCCTCCGGATGTTTAGACTCTCCCTTCCCACGAGCAAAATGTATGAAAGAAACCCTGTTTGTATGGTCGAATGGTAGAGAGATCGTCTGTTAACTCGAAAATATCGAGTTCGGTTCCCTGGCTAGAGCCGTGGGACGTCCCCGAGTCCACCCAGCTCTGATGGCTACCTGACTCGCGGTAGGGAAAGTAAAGTCGGCTAGGCATGGTGTTGACAACACTATCCCTTTATATGCAGCGGTTACAGAAACAGGTGAGCTCTACTTCACCAGCCCAACGGGCCGCCGGGTCCGAAAGAGAATTTTATTTTTTATGTGATGGAGTGGTGCGGTGATGGGGAATAAAGAAGAACTCAATGTTTCCCTCACCCCTCACGTCAAGAATGTATAAGTATTCATGACTGTGTGATGGCGAGGCTGATAGTACGTATACCAGCCTTGTCTGATCACCGAGCTAATTATTTTCTAAAATTTCGAGAACCATCCTGCCCGGACGTGATGCTAGTCGAGCTTTTTGATGAGAACACAGAACGAGTATGCCGTTGTCATGGCAACACGAGGAGACCATCTAAAAAACAGACGGCTTGTTTTTTTTTTAAGTTAGAGTTATGTTTCCTAACCTCATATTAAAATAAATCCTAATGCCCCATGCCAGCATGATACAATAGTAAATAGCAAATCACAATTACAACAAAGTAATCATAAAAATTGTCACCAGTTATTTTTAGCCATCGAAGAGTGTCGAAAATTGCCGGAAACTTGCGGAGATATTCGATAACTGATGGTACATGACGGAAAATTTCGTACGAGTTACCGCCGTGTTAAAATGCCGACGGGAAAGGCAGAAAATCTTCGATGACTCCAAGAAAACCCGATAGCAATGTCCAAGTTAGCTGCTACAGTCGTTTTAAGTGACAAGTAAAAAGGTTTCGTTTTGTACAGCTTTAAACTTGTTGGGAACTGTTGACCGCTGTGGATTGGTCAAAGCGAGGGTGCAAATGTAGGAGGGTGAAAATGTAGGTAAATGGAGGGTTGAATATGCAGGGTCGATGGAAGGGTGCAAATATAGGTCAACGGAAGGGTCAAAATGTAGTTCAATGGAGGGTGCAAATATAGGTCAACGGATGGGTGCAAATATAGGTCAACTGAAGGGTCAAAATATAGGTTAATGGAAGGGTAAAAATGTAGGTCAATGGAAAGGTGAGCATATCAATAAAAGAATAGGTCAGTTGACACGTTAATAGAATGGTTGGTTGATATGCCGACGTAGAGATCTGAGGAAAAAAAAACCCCAGACAAATTATATAGCAATGTCAACCCTAGGGTCAGCAGACATTTGGGATTGCCAACAGACAAGTCTGGAGTTCCCTGGATAAACTGTCCCAGACAAGCGAATCATCTAGAATCTTCTGTCAGCTGAAACACTACCGTGCCTGCAGCAAAATGGGCTTTGGGCAAACAGTTATAAGATTACAAAAGCCATTTCAAAGCAATGCGGCTGAGACATTACTGCTTGAACATATGTGATGTCTATAGTTTCAATCTAAACGCCTTTTCAATATGTGATCTAAGGTTTCAATATGAACATTTTCACCATATGTGATGTTTGTAGTTTCTATGTGATTTCTGTAGTTTCAATCTGACCGCCTTTTCAATATGTGATGTTTATGGTTTCAATATAAAGGTCTTATTCAAACCATGTCTTGTCCATATGTGACGTATATGGCTTTAATCTGAACTCTCAAAAAAAGCTGATACTAAGTTGATGTTTGTATATTCACTATATGTAGAGGCGCATAAAAGTATCTCATTGCATAAGAAACACAACATCCGCTTGCACCGTGGCGATTATCATACATTAACTCTACTTTATCTACCATACTCAAGGTATGGACCGACTAGTTCTTACAGCTCGTTTTGTTGACAATCCCCTGGCCATTTAGTTACGTGTGAACGTCACGTCACTCTCCAGCCCACACCCTGTCCCCCATACCATATTCCCTTGTCACCAAAATTGTATTTATTTATCTGTACTATCTAAAAGTTCTTTAACAAATTAAATGCAAGACAGTTAAAAAAAATAAAGCAGACGGTATTCGCCAACAGAAGAAGACTTATGAAATTGCCTTTTTTCTTACATTAAAAAAAAAAGAAAGAAAACATAATAGAAGTCATCTTGTTCCGTTTCTAAAAGTAGCTAAAGTTAAAAAAAAAGATGATAAATGGACCGAGGTGATGTTTCATCCTCAGTATATCTAATGAGAAATGTATGACAATTTAAAACAAAACTTACCCCTACTTATATTTTCTTAGTTGTTCATGTCCATTCATGTCCAGTTATCGTGTCGATTTCTGTTTACTAGTATACGTCTTGATTTCGAGTTTGATAATAAGAACTATTTGCAACAATATTTTGTTTTAGAGTTGCTAGCTTTTACTTTAGGTCACAAAAGTCACAAAAAATTGCGTTTTTATTAAACAAGTGCAGGTTTTAAGCCTAACAACTAAATTTACTCAAACTATTCACATTATTGTGTATATACACTATTAGAAATAAACCGGGAGTGATCTCCCCTAAACTTTCTCGAATATTCTTATATAAAATAACAGGGGATGGGAACTCGGGCTATAGACATGATTTTTACAAGCTTTTATTTAACTCACTTCCTCTGTCGTCAGTCGTCAGTCGACAGTCTGTCTAGATAGAAACGCCGGAGTGAAAATTCGGAAACTTCTACTTGACAGATACGATTCACATTTGGCACGTGGGTCAAGACATGAAGA